TATTAAGAACAGTAAAAGAAAGAAAGAAAGAAAGAAAGAAAGAAAGAAAGAAAGAAAGAAAGAAAGAAAGAAAGAAAGAAAGAAAGAAAGAAAGAAAGAAAGAAAGAAAGAAAGAAAAAGGAATTTATCCAAACTCTGGTTTTGGATAGCCCCAGCTATGGCGAAGCAAACCAGCGTAGCGCTTAGGCACTAGATGGGTGGGATATGAAAGTAACAAATAAAATAAACATACATAAATAAACCAGCTCAATAGTTAGGCCAGTTCTGGTTCTTTTCTTTTCTTCTTCTTTCTTTCCAGACTGTACCAGAACCGATCCAGCACTGTCCAAAGTGTCGCTGTCACCATCTCCACAGTCGCTTGCACTAATATTAAATGAATTTGAATTTATTTCCCCGCTACACACATCAGCCTCCTTTAAAAAAAAAAACAACCCACTGCCACGAAAGGACCAGACATGGCAAAAATAGCAGGAGGCACTTTCATAGAGTTGTGTTCACAATCACACCAAGCTTCTTTGCAACATTCTGCCCAGTCATGTTGATAAACAAACACAGAGAAAATATATGTTTGGTTTGGTTGTACAAAATCTTTGCAAACAAGAGTTCCTTGTTTGAGGGGGTTAAGAGGAGGTCACCAGCATGTAAGAGAATCTCTACCCATTGGTTGTGCTGGCTAAATCTGATGGGAATTGCACCCAAACACATAGGCACACTGGTGCATTCCGCCCTCCTCGCACATGCGCATTCACCGATCACTGCAGGGACAGAATCCTGTTACAACTTTATGTAGGATCACATAAAGTCTGTTTTTTTTAATTGCAACAGGACACACAGCCTATGGAGTTGGAAGCACCTGCAAACAGATGCAAGGTGTAATTTCACTGTGCAATTCCAGAATTACCTTCATTATCAGACGGGAAACTCAGAAGCAGGATGAAGAGCAATCCAGAGGAGCAATAATTGTGAGATGTTAGGGTCAGGAAGTGGAGGACCTGGGGCCCAAACCTTATTGGCTCCAAATCCCAACCTAATGGATAAGGTTGATGGGATTTGTAGTCCTCCAACCCATGGGAAGGTCACAGGACCTCCTCGCTCTTGATCACTCCAGAGTCATCCATGTTGTGCTTTATAGAAATAATAAACATAAGCAAAAAATGAGGTGTCTGTCTGCCAGGAGCTTACAGTTGGGAATTTGGAAAGAAGCGGGGAGCAAATGATGATAAAGAGAGGAAGTAAGGATCCAAACTTGCTGTCAATGGTCGTCTGAGCCCGAAGGACCCTCTTTTTTTTTTTAAGTTGATTTCATTTTGGAAAGGAAGTCGCTTAAAAGGTTTACGGTACAAAAGCAGCAACGGCCCATCGTGTTAAGCACCGGAGAAACCCCTTCAGCGTTTCCTCTCAATGTCGCACTCCGATTTCAGGTTTTCAGAGAAGCCACGCCATGCAACAGTGGGGTTTCTTACCTGCAAACAGAAACTTGAGTGCTGTGCCAGGAGTATATCTGAGTGACAAAAAGTCATACTCGTTTTTCCTAGCCTGGTCTGAACAGCACCTTTGCGATTCATATTCTCATTCGGAGTTATCCGGAGCCGGACAGAAAGCCACGTTCAATTCTTCTCTAGCAGCAAAACAATACAACTTACCATCTCCATTTCTTCCACCAAGGCCGGAAAAAAAGTGTATTATGCCTCCACTAGATGCTGGTTCCATAGACTCCTCGGCTTTCCTTCTTCCGAATCAGCCTAGGGACGCTTGATATTATTCACAAAATTAATAGACAGCTGAAACAGACAGGGGCATAAATGGAAAAGCCGATCGGGGGCACCGAGCTTATGTTGCTTCACAGGTGCAAAGTATCAAAGGACGGGTGCTGAGGTTATATTTAGTAAGGTCTATGAGTCACGGGGGACATGGCGCGGGCATTTCAGACAAACTGCAGGCCAAAAGGTTTTCAAAGTTAATTTGGTTCTCTTGCCACCCCAAAAGGAACCATTCCTCTATTCCCCCCGCCCCCCGTTTCTGCAAAAACTAATAATTTCCTCGCCTTTTTGCCCCCCGTGGGCTCAAGGCATAGAACTTGCAACCTTCTTCCCTGGAATGACCCTGTGAAGTAGATCCAACGACGGGAGAATCACTGACTCACAAAGAGAGCGTGCGTTTCCTGTGTGGGCCGAAGATCAAAATAAGCTCTGCAGCTTCATAGACGGTCTGATTCGTAATAATAATCTTAGAACTGCAAAGCTGGAAGAGGGGCTCTACGGATCATCGAGTCCAGCCCGTTAAGGAGGCCCCGGTGGGGCTCCGCAGCCTGAGACCTAAAGCAATGAGCTATTTGTTGATGTAACAAATTCATTTTATATATATTTGGCAATTTATTCATAGCAAAATTCATATGAACTACCAAAGATTATTAGATAAATGAAAAGGTAGCCATCGGAACTACAGTATCTTAGAATGTGCTAAGAATCGATGTGTCTTCTCTTTGCCCAAAATAATGAAAAGCTACCTTAACAGAAAAAAAAACACCCCTCCATAACTGGTCAACGTCACATCTTTTTCTGCTATGTCCAGCGTCTTGCCCGTAGCAGCAGAAGCCGATGTGCTTTCTAATTAAAATACGAGGGAAAGGACGCATCTCTGCAGGAGTTGAAATTGATTTAGTGAAGCATTCGAAGTTATACAGCTGTTAGATTTGGGAAGTTATATCCAACCAGTATGAGTGTAGCTATCACCAGAGACAACTCTAGGCTTTGCCCCTATCCTTGATGAGGGGCCCTTGAAGATGGGGTATATTCTCTCCATGCCCTGGAGGGTGCTCGACAGGAGGGATAGCACTGCGATTCCATTCCTCATGTTACGTTTCTGTGGCTTTGACCGAGATAGACTGCAAAGCTATGAAATGGTTAGCAATGACTGTCACCTAGTGGCTGCAGATGGCACTGCAGGCTTTTAACCCAAAAAACATTTAAACTATTTAATACAATTAAAAACATAAATAACCCAGAGATACATTTCATTTCATTGTCTTACAGCTGTGCTTCTGACAGACACGTCCTCTCCTACGATGCTGTTATTATACAGTCCCAAGAAATGTATTTGAAATGTCTTTATTTGCTGGGCTGCTTATTCTTAGTATGCATACTTGGCATTACTGCCCCACATAAAACGTTTAATTCTTCACAAATTTAGACACATCATGAATACCTTGAACCTTGGTCATTCCATGCCTACCAACCATTTAAAAATATTTTCAAAGATATAAAAGTAGCAATAAACTGAATTGGCTAAATGAAACAAATTAGCTGTTGGGTAAAATATACCCACGGTAGCAGGAATCGGTTCCCGAAGCAGGGAACCGATCGTCGCAAAGCGAAAAAAACCCATTTAAAACATCGTAAAGCAATCGCTTTTGCGATCGCAAAAAGTTCGGCATGATGCGATTTTGTCGTTAAACGGGGCGCTCGTCTTGCGAGGCACCACTGTATTTCAAAATCAAAACACAGAAATAAGCATTTCAAGGCGACACTGGGGTGTGTTGTTGTTTTAAAAAGGCACACGTTATGTGGTTTATTTCACAATATAAATAACTGACACTGATGTTTAAACAAGAAATCACAAAAACACAGTTACAAATATTTTACATAGAAATAAACACCATATATATAAAAAAAGAAAATAGCAAGGCAAAATACAATTGTCTGGTTATTGCTGAAATGTTTAAAGGTTTCCAACAGTTCGACACCTTTACTTCCAGATGCTGACAAAGTTATTTAGCTGCCCATGTTTGGAAGCAAACAAAGCCACGCCACTCGCAATAGTGTTTTAGCTTTAAACAAAAGTGTTTGTAAGGTCACTGCAAAGGAAAAGCATCTATTTATTTTACCGACTGACATGAGGCGCAAGTTTACGGCTTCTTAAAACATTAAAACTAGGGGCATGAAAAAGTGACTTTCCATGTCCATCATCATCACATTTTGTTTATGAAGACAACTTCAGTCAGCTCAGGGAAACTTACCTCCAGAAGAAGTGTGTTTTAAGATGGTTGGTCAAAGGGTTATTAAGAAAAGGTCGCTCCTCTGAACTTTAGAACAAGATTTTTAGATTAGGAATGTGAATAATGGGGTACAAAGCCAAATTGAAAAAGAACTGTGTTTCCAGGCGGGAATCCCTCCCAATTCTACAATGGTTAAAGTTGAGGAATGGGAAATCAGAATTCGTCTCCAAAACGGTGCAGAATTCTTTAAAGGCAGCCTTTGAACTCAAGTCTGCAACGAGAGGCTTTCTAGCCTATTTTCTGCTTTGGAGGTGGGGGAAAAACCCCCAGTAACACCAGTTACAATTTGGTTCAGATGCGCGGGTATCAAAGCATATCCGTGCTACTGGATAGTTAAACAGGTCATCACTGGCCAAACAAAATATATCTTAAGACGGCAAGAGAAAGGCATCTTGAAAAGAACAAGGCGGTTTGGGTTTCTCTGTCGGCGTGATTCAGACGGGCCCCCTTGAGCCTTCCGACAGGCTGGTTGTTAGGAGAAGCTCACCGCTAGGACGATGGCAAGAATGACGATCAAGACAGATACACAAATTATTATGAATATCAGTTTCTGTAAAGAGACAAACAGCGCAATTAGCAATTAAAAGACGCAAAACATGAGCAAACTCAGGGGAGCCAAAATCCTCCACCCCTCGGGGAAAAGAAAAGGAGGGGAAAAATAGAATTAAGGGTCAAGATGCCTGTAATCTTATGATAGCAGGCAGCTGATGCTCTGAAAAAGCCAAGAAAATGGAAAATAGCAAAATCAGATGGGACTGGGTGGCCACCTCTGGCTTCCAGGGATCAGGAGAGAAAACAAGGTGTGTGGGTGACTTGTGCCTTATTTCATACAAAAGTGCTCTTCTTGGCTGCTTCCAGATGCAGAAGCGGAACAGAATTTCGTCCTGCTGCTTTCAGCCTACCAAAATCTTTTTTTTAAATTTGGTTTCTGTCTTCCAGGGTATTAGCGACTCCACCCAATTTTGTGTCATTCACAAATCTGAGAAGCAGACTCTCCTCTCTCCCCTCATCGAGATCATTAAAAAAAAAGATGTCGAAGAACACCGGACTCTTAACCCGCTGTGACATACACCGACGAAAAATTCTGTGTAAACTTCAAAGCTTGCCTCTTTCTACACAAAACAGTGGTCCCAAGCCACAAGAAGGAAGATACTTCATCCCAGCCATTCAGGAACTTAACAGGAAAAAAAATGCAAGAAGGAATATGTACCGCAGGCTAGCCACTAGATGGCTGAGTTTTCACAAAAAATATAGGATGTCAACTTTTAGACACATTAAATGGATGGCTTACTGTAAGGCGGTTGAAATGGGACCTACGAGCGCCACCTTTACTCCTTGCAACCCACTCCCTGCTGCCCTGCCTGAGCACTGGGGCGTGTGTAAGGTGGACATACGTAAGTAAAAAAATAGGATATCCAAATTTATTGCAAACCAGAGTTTCTGCAGCAGGGATTCTGCTGCCGCCCCTCCTGGTTTCTGCCAGAATCATTTATCAGATTTTCCTCTCGAAACCTCCCATCCTTGTCATGCACCCTAAAAACCTGATCCGAGAGGCTGGGGAAATCTCCTGAAGCCAGTAAGGACTGCAGGGGGGGCTCTAAGGTCTTTAATGTTGAATTCCCAAATATGCTACAGGATCGTGGCCTCAAATCTAATTTAGGCAACCAAAAAACTTTGATTTTGTTGAGCGAGACTTGCTGGCCTACTTACTATAAATAAGTCAGAAAAGATGGGGGGGGGGAATAAGATTATGAGTCTCTCTCTCTCTCCCTCTCCCCAGTTTTACCCAAATCATGCCTTCACAGACTTCTAAAATTAACAGCAAATGGAAGAGTCAAATAAAAAAGGGCTTAACTCTTGCCAGCCCGGTTTAATTTTGATCATTGAAACAGATTTATCATCTGCCCAGCCCTGGTGGGTAATCCAGATGTTCTTAGACTGCTACTCCCAGAAGGCTTCCTCAGCAGCTCTGCTGGGAGTTGTAGTCCAAGAACCTCTGGGGACCCAAGGTTGGGAACCATTGGTGTCGTTGATTGAAACCTCTAGGCCATAATGATATAGCTTACTGGTGTTCATCCTAAGGTCTGCATAAACAGCCACTGCTAATTGCGGCTAATTGACAAGGTGCCTGCGTGTATCTGAATAACACATGACTAGGCACGTAACTGAGATGTGCCCAGCCACTTCATCATTTAGCCGCGGCAAGCTAAGAAAATCTTATGCAAACACGAGCAGAATTCTAGCCTATATGACTAATAACTTTCTTATTTTGGCAGGCTTCCTAAATAAATCATCGTGCTGTTCTAATAACTCTGCTTGAGTGTATACTTAAGATCTACAGCCGCCCAGCCAGTTTCAAATTTAAATGAACCTTCATTTGCTGTTTAATTTGAACTGTATGTTTTATATTTGTTTTAGTGTTGTCCATTGGCCAGAGTGACCACCAGTCAGATGGGCAGTTAAGTCCAATCAATCAGTCAGTCAATCAATCAGTCAATCAATCAATCA